CAGATCCCATCATGTCATAGTTTAGACTCCAGCATGTCAAAGTTCACATACTCCAGCATATCATAGTTCAGACTCCAGCATGTCAAAGTTCAGACTCCATCTTGTCAAAGTTCAGACTCCAACATGTTATAGTTCAGACTCCAGCATGTCATAGTTCATTATTTAGTTCATATTCACCCTGAATTTTTATTTAATCATGATTCTCAATGGGCAAGGTTTTAATAGTTAGGCTATGTTTTTAAATTGATCATTTGTAACTTACAGTTGGAGCCAGCGTTAAAACAGTTCTTGGCAAAGAGTGCAACTGATGATTCCAATTGGACATTTAACGCTAAAAATATCACGCATTCATGGATACGAGATGGACTCAAACCACGGTGTATTACCCGTGATTTGAAATGGGGTACACCGTACCGCTAGAAGGATTCACTGATAAGGTATTCTACGTTTGGTTTGATGCCCCCATTGGTTACCTCTCTATTACCGCTAATTATACCGACCAATGGGAGAAATGGTGGAAGAACCCACAACAGGTGAGTCTCCTAAAAGTGGATTAGAATGATATCTTTTCTCTACAATACATCTATAATATAATTAGCACACGCACAGGAGCCAAGAGTTTTGTTCTCTTGGTGGGCTATCATTGCATACACTTGCAGCAGCGCATATATGTTTTATGTTACTTGTTCTGTATTTTAAATGTTTTAATTTCAGGGGGGGGGGACCTTTCAAGGTTTCAAGGTGTTTTTGTACTGTTACGTGATCGTCTTTTATTTTACCCGTAAACCAAAAAGCATAATATAATATAATGTAATGTTTTTACGGAGATACCTCAAAGTATGCACGAAGACAGTACAGTGACAGTATCGACCGACGCGCAGCGGAGGTTGATGCGACAGCATACTGTCAGAGTGCATCTTCATAATAACCTTATAATTATACATCTTTTTCCTACCAAGGATACATCGTGGGAATGCCGAAATCCAAAAAGTTTAGAACAGAATCAGCAAACTTCTTTGTATGGAGTCTGGTCAAATCCTGGTGGCAGCCATGTTTGTTTTTATTATTAGAGAACGCGCGTAATTATTCCATATTGTCATTTGCAACATGTTTAAATTGTTTAAAATGTTGGTTAAATTTTTCAACTGAATTTTTTTCCTCCAGAAACTGATACTATAGGCAATATATTTAATACAGTAAAGGGCTTTTCACCAAAATTCTGAAATAATTTCTTAAGCCAATATTTATTTTATTTTATTCACAGGTGACATTATACAATTTCATGGCTA